TATTATTCATTCTCCCTCATTTCTTTCATGAAACATAAAAGCAGACGTTTGACAGAATGTTCTGCCTGCCCTTATCCCTGCAATGGATATTTATTGGATGATACATGAAAGGTCGCTGTTGTTAATAATGTTTATAATCTTGATGTATGATGGTGCTAATAATGATAATAATAATTGTCTGTACAAAGAATATGAATTATAGCTCAACTGATGACAAAACACCATATAATATCCATGCAACAAATGTGATAAAGTGTGCATATTTTCAATTTTAAGACTCATCATGCTAGCTTTGATGTTACTGGAGAGCTGAAATTCTCATTTTTGATCAGTTTGACAGCAAACTGAATGGCAGCATTTTTGTATTTTCAAAATATCTTCTTTTGTGTTTCATATACGTATACAGTGTATATTTATAAATGTAATTACAGGCTTAGAAATCATGAGGGTGAATTTTTATTATTATTATTTTTATTTATTTTTTTGCGGTGAACTTTTCCTCTAATGTTCTATTTATATATTTTGATCTTAATATTATATTTTTAGGATGAATTATACTAGTGCGTATTTCAATACTTGTGACTCTTTCACTATTTGATTCTTCCCCTAGAAGACTTTTTATTTCTCATAACACTTCATAGAGGTGTCTTGCCACATTTCCAACTAGTTCAGCTTGTTTCTATTAACAAAGTGTTGCAAATGCCCCGCTGAAATCCACAAGCGAAGAACATGTCAAGGAAAGGGTCAACGTTAGTCCAAAATTATCAGGGAATTGCAGCCTTATTGGAGATTGAAATTTGGAGTGCGTAATCACGACTCAGAGCTACAATGTGCACTTACAGAAGAATGTTGTACGGTTTAAAACGGTGTTAAAGATTTTGACTCGATTTTGATTCAACTTTGAAACTGAGAGATTGCTTTGGTCCTAGAGGTGGACTAAGATGAATAGCTTGTGATTGTATCTGTCCTCACACACCTCTGCTAATCATCCCAGTCAAGTGACCTCCCACCACTGCCAATTACCAGCAATACACTGCGATTCATCTATTTAAATCTATGCCACCTGTCAAATATAGCCAGCGTACGCTTCTCTAGAATGCATTCCGCACATAACCGACCGCTAAAGATGGCGCCATTCTCTCAGAACTGGGCCATGCCAAAGACATTCATGTACACCAGCCAGGAGGATCTATTTCAGTCCGGTGCAAATGAGACTGCAGGCATCATGCTACGTGTCTGGCCTATAAACCTGGCTGTGTAGCTTATGATATTGAGATGTAAGTGATATGTAGCCCAGCTGATGGCCCATGTGGATATATGCTTGAGCACGGATTGAACTATATCGTTTTTTTCTTTGCCTTGGTGATAGAAAACCTCTTACTTGTATCAACATATGAGGGCTACTTTGTGCCACGCAATAATCATTCGAGGAAAGGATAAACAATTAAACAGTCACTTAATTTTGAGGATAAAAAGATCAAATAATAATTTATAAAATTTATAAAATTAAATGTCTGTATTAAGTTAAGTGAAAATACAATGTTTGTTTCACTATTTACATAAAATTGTAAATCATTATTTCTTTGGGAGAATTACACACAATTTACAAAAAATTTCTTTTCCTTTTGGATATTAATTAATGAATTATCCTCAATAATAAAATGTGTAAAATTTCGAAAAAATACAATTAGTGAAAAATATAAAATAATACAGTTTTCAGATCAGCAGTTCAGTGTTATTTTAGTATTATTAGCTTACTATTATAGTATTTATTCACATTTTAAATGACCTTTAATTTTTCATTTTTATAAATTTTTTCCCCATATTTTCTAAAATTTATTTACTTTTTAATTTTTTTTTATTTAACTTAAACTCACTTTATTTCAATTTAACAATTTTTCAATTTTGAAAAAAATGGAAAATATGTCAATTTTGTTTTTGTTTTTCATCTGATATATATGATAAACATATGCAAATTATTTTGAATAATTTTAGTTTAAGTTTTAGTAACAATAACACTAATTCAGCAATTGAGAATAAAGAATCCATGCAAAAATTGGTCTCATAATGTGATGTTTTTTTTATTTTTTATATACATATGATTTTTATTATGCATAGCTCTATTGATTTACCTATTTGGTCTGCTACTCAATCTGCTGTCCTGAAGTTACAGTTTTAAGGTGGTTATGGTTCAAATATTGGGCAGTATAAGGTTAGTGTTTTAAGTCTAGAAATAGTTCAACAGCTTTAAAGTTTAGAATATTTAAAGTCTGGTAATGAGTGCGTAGTTGACCTTTTCAGAGTTGTGCAGAGTTGTCAAAAGGAAGAAGTTAATTTCTGTGTTAGACATAGAGTGTTGGACACTAAAGCTCAGGTTTGTTAAAGTGTAGCGTCCTGAGGAGTGAGGCACTCAGAGGTGGGCCTGTCCCGACACGGTGGCCTGCGGCTTCACCTTCTTCTAGCAGACGCCGCCTCACAGGTCTAAAAGGATTGACCTTTTAAATTTGACCTCTGGTCTAAGCCTAATTCCTGGCTCTCTCACACGAGGATGTTCTGACCTCCCCCTCTCTGTTCTTCTGTCTGCAGACCTGAACGAGTGCGGCCTCAAGCCTCGGCCCTGTAAACACAGGTGCATGAACACATACGGGAGCTACAAATGCTACTGCCTAAACGGATACATGCTGTTACCTGACGGGAGCTGTGGAAGTGAGTTACGTCTCTGTTTTACACGTGGTTAAATAGCTCTTCAGCGCTTTGCTTGAGACGAGTGTTACCAGCAGTGTGTATGTTTTATTTCGACTAGCTGGATTTCTACAGGCTTTATAGTATATTGTTCCAAAAAGCCTTACGAAGATAATGCAAAAATACAGACAACATAAAATGAGGATTATTAAAAATAGTTTTACTTTCATGGATTAATTTAAACCATAAATGAAAAAAGTGTGTTTTTATAGTCTCTTCTTCCATACACAAATCATTCCAAGAGCTCAGGGCGTCCCTCAACCCCGCAGAGAGCTTTCAAGTGACTCACAAAAAAAATATGAGAAAGCTGTGAACTTCAACCCTGCCAGGCTAAGGCTAAGTCTTATTGCTGGCCTTAAGCGATCCTCCCTACGCCAAGTGGACTGTGCCTGTGCTTGCCTGGTGCTAAGTGTTCTTCCAGAGGCTCCAAGATTATGCTCTCTGATAAATATTTTCTCACCTTCCCACAGCTCACACTTCAGCAAACACCACTGAATCACAGAGTTAATCAAAGTGTGGTGACGTGGGTGGTACGATCATTGTCAAAGCTCGGACGGCAGATTACTGCATAGTTTGGAGAGGCTGGGTGCTGATCTGATTAAAGTCTGAGCAAGCTCAAATTATTCATAACTTTATGTTATGTGATTGTAAAAAAAATACTCTTTTGAAATTAGCTTCATCATACTGTAAGTGCCAAATATGCCGACTTTTATTATTTTTTGTTATTATTAAACTTTTTTATTTAATTCAATTTAATTAAAATTATAATTTTATATTTTGTAACTTTATAATTAATTAAAATCTATCAAATATAATAATAAATAATATAATTATTTATTATAACAATAACAAAATATCATTTTATTAAAATTAATAATATAACTATTAAAAAAATAAACGTATTCCACCTGCATTTAAAAATATTTATTCATAAAATATAAATGTAAAAAAATATTAATTTATAATAATAATAAACGATTCACAGAATACACAAAATTGCTCGAAATTAAATGCCAAACATTAATTAAAACACTTGCGTTAAACAAGATTTACTCAAAACTCACTTTTATTTTAATGTTATTTGATATTGTTATGTGATATAACATGGTCCAGAATTGAGATCTATTACTTATGCAGTACACAAGAAATTAAACGTTTCGTGAGTTAACACATCTCTTTCTAATTTCATTTCCTTCAAGACTTGGTTTTTCGACTTGCATTAGCAGGAACAATGTGGCATCTTCTTTCGTGTTTCCGTCTGACGTAAAACGGGCTGTGCCGTCTGTGACGACCCCCTCGACACTAGTTGAGAATGTTTCTCCGCAGGCCTAATAGATCACTGCACAATCTAATAACCCAAGGTTATCTGCTTCACTGCTCGATTCCTTCAAGGCCATGAGGCTAAATATGGAAAAGTGTGTTCCCTTCTGCGACCTGTGGCCTTGCACCCCATTCAATGGCTGTTCATCTTTGTGTTCTCTTGCTTGGATGCTTACATATGGGACATCTGTTGCTACATTTTGTTTTCCATGTACAGTGTGCTTTTTATACTTGAGTTGTTCTGTGTCTTAATGTTTAAGTGGAGGAAATATGCATCATAAGTGCTAAACCTGGTGTGCGCATCTCTCTGTCAGATGCCCGGACATGCAGCATGGCGAACTGCCAGTACGGCTGTGAAGTAATGAAAGGAGAGGTTCGCTGCCAGTGCCCGTCTCCAGGTCTGCAGCTCGCTCCAGATGGCAGGACCTGTGTGGGTATGTGTTTGTGTCTAATGCATTACTTTAACTGTAGGAAGCACACGGCAAAGATGGTGGTGAACAAATACAAAAGCCTTTAATCCAACTGCAAACACAGAAGAGTAGACACTGATAAAACCAACTGAACAGAACAGGGAGTATAAGTACACATAGCAAATGAGGACACTAAACAGGACCAGCTGGACAGAGAGGAACCAATCAGACACCATAGAAACAAATGAGAATTAATACAGACATGACAGAAACAACCAAACAGAACAGGATTGGGACAATTATGAGAACATAATGTACATTTCCGAACAAAAACTTTCTATAGCTGCGCCTGGAATCAATCAGATACTTTCGTGAGTAGATACTAGCCTACATTTGAATTTAAAAATTACTTCATGACCGTTAAAAAAAGTATGTTGTATTTAGTATGAGTGTGTGTAGTATGAATGTAATCTGGACGTACTACATTCACCATGTTGTCATTATTAGGTGATCTACCAGCATCAGTTGTGTCGCTTAACTGCCATTCATAAATCTTCTCCCGATACCCAGGTAGCAAACTGACATTGAATCAACGTGGAAAGATGACATCGAAACAACGTTGATCTGACATTGTTTTGCTCATCGAATTAACGTTGAACCAACGTCAGACACTTCATTCTTCAAAACTAACGGATAAATCAACTTGAAATCAACGTTGTTTCAACGTTAGGAAAGCAAACCAATTTTCGATTTTCATTTAGCTTTGAAGAATGCCGCATCTGACGTTGGTTCAACGTTAATTCGATGAGCAAAACAATGCCAGATCAACGTTGTTTCGATGTCATGAGAGACGTCGTTTCCACGTTGATTCAATGTCAGTTTGCTGTCTGGGTAGTGAAGTGTGCATTCGAGTTGTAGGTCATCCGGGGCATTTTCCGATACTTTGCATTCAGACATAGGCCGGCTACTCTGTTGGCGTACTGTTTTTTGCGTACTATAGCAGTGCATCTAAAAATCTGCCATCAAAAGTGTCAATATTTTATATTTATAATAAAGTGTATAATATAGGCTTATATTCATATTTATAAATTATATGCCAAAATATATGTATGCATTATTATATACATTATAATTAACTGAAAAATATATATAAATATCACATTCCTAGCATTATTAGCACATTTCTAGCATGATTCAGCATGATGGTAACATGATTTAGCACATTGCTAACATGATTTGACCTGTTGTTAGCATTATTTAGCACATACCTAGCAGCATGATTTAGCATGTTGTTACTGTTAGCATGATTTAACATGTTGTTAGCACGATTTAGCATGTTGTTAGCATGATTTAACATGTTGTTAGCATGATTTAACATCTTGCTAGCATAATTTAACATCTTGCTAGCATAATTTAGCACATTGCCAGACTGTTGTTAGCATGGTAAGTCAGAACAGTCTGACATTGAATCAACGTGGAAATATGACATCGAAACAACGTTGATCTGACATTGTTTTGCTCATCGAATTAACGTTGAACCAACGTCAGATGCGTCATTCTTTCAAAACTAACGGAAAATCAACTTGAAATCAACGCGTTGTTTCAACGTTATGAAAGCAAACCAATTTTCGATTTCATTTAGCTTTGAAGAATGCCGCGTCTGACGTTGGTTCAACGTTAATTCGATGAGCAAATCAACGTTGTTTCAATGTCATGAGAGACGTCGTTTCCACGATGATTCAATGTCAGTTTGCTTTTTGGGAAGGTCTGACCTGAGTTTGGTGGTTCTAGCTTTAAAGATCTAGGAGGAATAGCAGTCAGAAATTTTTGTCTCAGAGTGTTTAAATTCCACTTTCTCAAGCCAATATGACACTAGCAATGCCATTCCTGATAATAATAATACTAGCCTACTAATAATATGACACTAGCAATGCCATTCCTAATAATACTAATAATGATAATAATATGACACTATGCCATTTCCAGGAGACTTGAATACTGTAAATTGCTTTAGATGAAATCATCTGCTAATTTGCATAAATGTAAATCAATGTAGACTGGTGTAAAAAAACAAATAAAAAAACATTAAATAATAAATGACATGACCCCTTTAAGTCAAAAGAAGAATGAGCAAGATAGTTTGGCTTTGTTTAGTCATCTTTTGAAGGTGTGACATGATTTTTTTGTGGCTGTCAGAAAAGATCAACAAAGCTTTGCTATTACGAACGTGTCACACCACAGTCGCTTTCACTCACGTCTGCGCTCCTGCTACTGTGCGGATTGCACCTGTCCTTGACAACAGAGCTGTGCTTCTTTCGTTTGATACTCTAATTATGCATTAAGTGCTTGGAAATGTCATTGTGGCGTTCATTAATTACTGTTTTAATGGTGTGCCTTAGTCCTAGAGACGTCAACTACATAGACTGTTTGAAGAAGCAGATATTCACATCTTCACCACCAGTGTTGTGCAAGTTACTTCCAAACTGTAATACATTAGGTATTACTTGTTACTGTTATTTAAAAGTAATTCATTACCTTACAATATTACTGTCCCAGAATTGTAATGCGTTACATTACTCATGTATTACTTTTTAGTTACTTTCACCAAAATAACTAAGTAGAACTTAACTTTTGGCCTGTAACGATATGCAATATGAAACCGAAATCGCGATTCGCCACATGACTCAGATTAACTAACCTACAGAATCGCGACAAACCTCTTCCAACTCCAGCGTTATTCTCCTTACCGTCCATATCCAATGCTGCCTTATCTTTAAATTAGGCTATTAGTATTATTTGAAGTTAACATTATAAAATACGTAGACCTACACCACAAAACTAGTTGAGGATAAATTATTTAAAATTGGGGAAGTCCAGCATTATGGACATGACATTTGCAGTCAAAACTTGAAATAAAAATTCTCAGAAAATACATGTATTGAAACGTATATAGGCTACTTCCTCAAAGGACTCCAGACATTAGTCAAATATCAGTCTATGTTTTATTTTTAATATTAGGGAAAAGACACACATTCATGCGTGACAAAAAAATAGGAGGCAAAATCGATTTTTTGTAATTCTGTTAATTACACTGCGCAAATCGGATGAGGAAGGGTTGGCTTTCCAGTCTCCATAGTACTTAAAATATTCATTTTATTTTAGTTTTCGTGTTCGCATTTATGAGGAAAAAACAATGTTACAGACGCGACCGCTCTGAACTGGCACTAAAAGACTGCTTTAAAACGTTCACATAGTCTGTTGCCTTTAAGAAGTAAAAGCAGACAATACACTGTAATACAACTGTAATACAAGCCTCACTGAACATGTAACGAGTAAAATATTACTGAAAATTGATTAGTAATGCCTTACACTACTGCGTTACAGCAAAAAGTAATATGTTACTGTAATGTATTACTTTTGTAATGCGTTACTCCCAACACTGTTCACCACACAGATCACTAAATCACAAATGGAATGCGACAAATTGAGTCAGTTAACCTAATGCTCTCCTACGCACATTTGTCTTGCTTGACTCCTACATTTTTTCCCTCACTTTTCTGCCCCTTTTCTGGAGGGTATGAGGAGGGGAGTGCAGAAAACAGTGTGAGTTTTTTAAAAGGGCACCATAAATCATAAGACTGACCATCTTAATGTTTCACGACACAGGTGTTCAGCTCTTTAGGCATTTCAGCAGAGGACTTTTATCGCTCCGAGGAGGGCAGCTTTTGTTAGATGGATGCCTGAACATGCACTCATAAGTGTTGAGTTTGAATGGGACTCCTGCAGCGCGTTCACACACTGCTTGATGCAGTTCTCTGTTTAGTTAAACCTTAATTGCAGCATATGCCAGCACAAAACTTCACAGTGTACAATAGCCAGTCTCAAAAATGAATACTGACAGCATTATGCATCACATCAATTCAAGGATCATGAATTATATAAGTATAGTTTTGAGGTGATGACCTTAATTCACTGGGACCTTTTTACTTTGATCCAAACCGGAGATTGAAAAAGAGTAGAGAAACGATGGATTGGTGTGTTTGTTTTTCGCAGATGTGGATGAATGCGCCACGGGTCATGCGGTTTGTCCCCGTTTCCGTAAGTGCATCAACACATTTGGGAGTTACATCTGCAAGTGCCATGATGGCTTTGACCTGCAGTACATCAACGGGAAATTTCAGTGTACAGGTAAGCTGGTGGTGTACATTAACATTACATTCATAGACAACGTCCAAAAACCTTTCAAACAATGTGAATTGTTGGAATAGTGTAGAAAATCTTCGACATAACTCACATTCTTGCCAACAGTAGAGATTTTGTGAAGCATTTTATGTTTTATTATGTGAAAACAGTATAAATGGCACTCCTGCACGCAATTAATTGTAAGAAATTATTGCATGTGGGATTCACTGACAAGACATTTCAATAAACCATAATACATTGAGAAAATCTATCCAATCGTGGATGAGCCAAGTAGAAAATGCCTGTTGAAAAATGGCATGTTCTTGTAATATCTTGTTTTAGATAATCAAAATAACTATTTTTAACCTGAATGCACTATGCTAAGTAGTGATGCACCAACATTTCGGTAACAATAACAGCAAATGTTTTATTGAAAACATTACAGAGGCGATGTTATGCCCTTTTATAAAGTCTTGATTTAGTTTTTGAGTTTTTTATGTTGGAATGATCATAAAACATTATTTTTGAGCAACTATTGTTGCAGCACCTCTCTTCCTAGTCTGTCCATAACGTCTGTCTATCCTGTCTCTATGAAGTCAATCCTTCTGAAAAGCACACTGTGCTCTGATTGGTCGTCTGGAACGGTTGTGATTGGTCAACCGTTTTGATCGTGTTTGGGGAAATGTCACGCCCCTTACCATAACCACGAGATTCAACACACTAACGCCGCCTTCACACTGGCAGTTGAAATCAGCTCCGATGCGGCTGCGAAACGACCGGAAGTCATTCATTTCCTATGGAGATTCGCAGACCGCATGCGAATGGGTCCGAAACGGGTCCGACCGAGTGCGGTGCGAAGAAAATCGTGTCCGTTGGTCATCCGGATGCGTTCAAAAATTTGAACTCCTGCGAAAAGCTACGGACGGTTCCTATCCGACAATTCCAGCGGAAGTTGAGCGTTGCTATGGTACTGATAAACAAACCTGAATTATTAACTTTTAATAAAATAAATATTGATTTTATAACGATAATTTGTGATGTCATTTTTTATTTTCATGACTTTCTAACGTTTATAAGGGCAGTTAATACAATTAAATTGAAGGTAGACATTGAACTATTGACCACTATATCACATTTTTTAGCCGACCTGACATGTCAACGTCCTGAGCAACTTTCCTCACGCAGCATAACCCTAATCAGAGAGATCATACAGAACTGACAGAATCAAACTTTAATCTCTCCCCCATTTTTGTTCTACCCGCGTCCGACGCTTTTCACTGTGTAGTACGACGTCCGTTGGGAACGTATTGCGTATTACGGAGCTGATTTCAACTGCCAGTGTGAAGGCGGCGTAAGGCCCTGTTGTTTACACGAGAACGCTCGCAGGTGAACACGTAATTTGAAACCACCCTCCAGAGAGTGGAAATCTTAGAAATGTGTTATCACGTGCAAATCGCGGGGGATTGGCGGACGATGAACGCTTGCCAATCTGTTAGTATGAAAGAGCCAACAACGCATCAAAGACGCTCATAAACGCCTCACAGACGCGTCGACGAGCCCAGAAAATTATCTAGCATGCTAGATATCCAGAGCTGTCGCACGACTCAACCTCAGTGATGTCATGAGCTCCAGCCAATCAGAGCAAGCCATGGGTTGAGGTCACCGGGTAAATCGTATTTTTTTCTTTTTCTGCAATTTTTTTCTCAGAGCAAATCATCGCGCAAGCAGTTTGAAGCACTAGTTTCTGTCTGACATCCATATTCGCGTGTTGTGTTCTTTTCTTCGCTGGGTATTGACGCACGAACATTTCCAGTTGGTCTTATTGCATGTTTTTTCGCGATAAAACGTGTTTTGTAGACAAGATAGAATCGTTGGGTGACAGAGTTGTTGTCAGCCCGTGTAACGTGCATTACCTCCTGTTTCAGATCAGTCACGTTGTGTTGTGTGGTTTGAACAGCTAAACAACTTGAACACTCCTGATTTCACTGAGAGCAAGTCATGTAGTGTGAACTGCACAGTTCAGCCCGGCGTTTTATAATCATGTAGTGTGAACAAGGCATAACTCAACCAAACCAAGCCCCTTTATTTATTTATTTTTTCATGCCTTGGGTGGGAATTATTTAAATGAGGAATGTGATGTTTTTGTTCTCGAAAGAAAACTCAAGACTTCAATATAAGAGTACAGAAAAAAAGAAGCTAGTGTTGTTCACTATAATCTACCTTAAAATCTACCTGATCTCACAGAAGCAATTCTTTCTGCTTTAATGGTCCTTTAGATGTGAATGAATGCTCTTCGAGTCAACACCAGTGTGGTCCCTATGCCACCTGCTATAACACACCTGGTTCATACAAGTGCAAGTGTATGGATGACTACAGAGGCGTGGGCTACGACTGCAAACGTAAGTATGCAAACCAAATAATTACTGCGATGGAATATTGAAATCCACTTCAAGGTGTTTACTTTTTGTTACTGTTATAATGCACACGTTTTAAACTGAGATTAAAATCCATATCACAACAATAAAAAATATCTCATTTGCATTAATGAACAGTGAACACACTCCATGCATAAACTGATCACATTATGGCTCAGGCAACAGTTTAATTGGTCCCCATCTGTTCTCAGTTGCAGTGATTTTGATTAATTTAGATTAAAAGCAGCTGTATGAAGTAAAACAAGGTGGAACGGTGCTTTCAAAGGCACTTCAGGATAAAGGTTTGGACAGGCTTAAGTCAGGAGTCATTAGTATGAATGCTTTAAGGACAAAAGCTAAGGCAAGGTTATCATTAAGAGGTGAACGGCGTACGGGCATCCCTCGAAAGTAGACAACCAAAAAGGCTGATTACAGGAGATTTATGGACTTTGATGGAGCTATAGGCCTTTTTGTGGCAAACACTGATCTGGCTTGTGTGGATGAACAGTGACAGAGTAGACTGAGGTAAACCATTACTGCAGTTTGCACTGGTGAATGCATGTTCTTTGTAGATTTTCTTCCCCTTGGCCTGGGATTGGGGCACTTTTCAGGTAAGAAAAGAAGATGGATGATGAAAAATCTTGAGGAAAAGCCAGAGCCTCAGCCAGTATGTTGAACATGGGTAGATTGTTCACCTTTTCAATGTGACAGCACCCCATAGCACAATCCCAAATGAAGCATATAGTGGCTGAATGACAGGAAAGAATATATTAGGGTAAAAAAAAGTCAGTCCTTCAAATATGCAAAGATTGCAATGCATATTTGTAGATAATGATAAATGATACAAAATGTAGCTCAAAATTTTGCAAACATTTAAGTAGTAAAGACGTGTATATGAAAAAAAGCACTGCTGTTCAAAAGATTGGGATAAAAATAAGATTTATTTAATCAGAAATACAGAACAATTTGTAACAATGAGAAGGGATATAGCAATACTGTTTTCTAATTTAATATTTCACATGCTCAAGACACATTTCTTATTATTATCAATGGTAAAACAGTTGTGCTGCTTAATATTTTTGTGGAAACTGTGACGCATTTTTTTTTCCAGGTTTCTTTGATTAATAGAAAGCTCAAAAGAACAATAGAAATGTCTTGTAACATTATATGGCTTTATTATCCCTTTTGATTAATTTAATGCATCCTTGCTGAGGAAATGTATGAATTTATTTAAGAAAATAGCTCTGACCCCAAATTTTTATACTTTTTATTTATATTTTACAAACACACCCACTTTTATTTGTTATTTTTTAGGCGTTATTGTTCGAAATGATCATAAATTACATGTCTGTATGTGGTATGAAAAAGGTGCTGGTTTTATTTGCTACACTTTAGATCTGATGAAAGAAAATATCGTGTGCATCACCTCCCTGCCTGGAATTCTTTTGTCTGCTGTGCCTTGAGGTTGATCGATGCCATGTTTTCAATCTTTGTGAACAAAGAGAGGTTCATGATGACACCACAGCTGCACGCTCTTCACATGCACTCTCTACTGCCTTTACAAAACACTGTCAGTGGCTTTGTGCATGAAGTATTCTGCATGCATGCAACCTGCTCAATCTTGTTATTATTTGTTAAGTGGACAAAAATTGTTGTTGTGAATCTGACATCTGATTTAATCATCGTTAAACCAATGAGGCAACCCATCCCTCCTTAGCATCTGTTCTGAAAACTTCCAGCCAGGTGTGACTCAAAAGTGTTGAATAACTGCCTTTTTGGGAATCATATATCAAAGCTCCTGTGAAACCTGAGATAGCATTGTCACATTCATTCCTTAGTGTTCCATCCTTAAGAATGACACAAGCGCGAGGGTCTACGCTTCTGGTATTGATTTCGAATGTGATGGATGACTTTCGTGCATTCATTGTACATATGAGCTAAAAGTGTCCTTTTCAGTTTCATTTAAAATATGAATGGTGACTTTTCCATTGGGCCTTGTTTAGCCACAGACTTAATTCCCAAAAACGTTTAAACCAGATAAGAAAGACATATTCAACACGTGAATAAAAATAAGTTGAGCCATTTTAATATCATGTTAACTTCAAATTAAACTAAGAATCCTGTTTGTTCTCCTTTTAGCTATCCCAAAAGTGGTTATTGACCCTCCACGACCTGGAAAGACCACGCCAAGCAACAATGACAACAAAGGGGGCAACAAAATTCCCGGCTCAGACCAAAAGAGAACCACCACAACACTCAGACCACCAGTGACAGCTAAACGGATCTCACCTGCAACAACAACTACCACTAAACCTCCTCCGACCAAAAAAGTCACCCCTCCAGCGAGAGTCCCAGCGACTACCACCCGTAGGCCTTTCATACCGACACGTAAACCCCCTGTTGTGGTGACAACCAAACCTAAGGTCCCGTCCCGACCCACAATCAGAACTACCACAAAAGCCCCAGTGGTAACAGCGGCGGTTCCCTTTATCCCAACACGCAGACCTTTAATCCCCTTTGTGACGCCAATTGATAACAGCATCAAAGACATTACCCAGAAACAAAGAGGTGATGTTCACAGTAAGTACATTTACTTGTTTTTTTTTATAAAATATTATTCAGATCTCCACAATTCCTCTGTCTTAAGCAAAAACCGTCGTTAAAGGAGTAGTTCACTTTTCAAAAAACTTTTGCTGATAATTTACTCACCCCCATGTCATCCAAGATGTCCATGTCATTCTTTCTTCAGTCGAAAAGAAATTAAGGTTTTTGATGAAAACATTCCAGGATTTTCTCCATATAATGGACTTCAGTGGGAACCAAACGGTTCAAGGTCCAAAAGACACTTTCAGTGCAAACTGCAAACTGTTCAAAGGGCTTTAAACGATTCCAGACGATGAATAAGGCTCTTATCAAGCGAAACGATCGCTCGTTTAATAAATAAATAACAAAGTTTAAGTTTTATAAGCTCAAATGCTCGCTTTGCTCTGTACTGCGATGCACGTTCGTGACTCTCCTGTTCGAACTCGTTTATCAAAATGAAAGAATCTTTTTCCGAGTCAATTCGTTCGTTTCGTTCATTGAATCAACCAAATGACTCGAAAAAAGATTCGTTCATTATGATGAACGAGTTCGAACAGGAGAGTCACGAACTTGCATCGCAGTACAGAGCAAGGCGAGCGTTTAAGCTTATAAAACTTAAACTTTGTTATTTATTTTTTAAATGAGCGATCGTTTCGCTTGATAAGACCCTTATTCATTGTCTGGAATCGTTTGAAGCTGCACTGAAACTGTCTTTTGGACCTTGAACCTTTTGGTACCCAGTAAAGTCTATTATATGGAGAAAAATGCAGGAATGTTTTCATCAAAAACCTTAATTTCTTTTCGACTGAAGAAAGAATGACATGAACATCTTGGATGACATGGGGGTGAGTAAATTATCAGCAAAAGCTTTTTCAAAAGTGAACTACTCCTTTAAATCTGTATGGGAAAAATCCTTTGCATTTACACAAAATTCCCAATCATGTGAATTCCTATAATGGCTGGATTTCGCTCACAAAAATAGCATGTACATTAATGTTCATGGGTGTACAGTCCTGCTCCTTTAGGGTCAGTGTAAAAAAAATAGCTTCCTTGAGAGTTTCCCAAATATTTGCAAAAATGTGCTTTAAAGGCTCTTTCATGTGAATTATGATGTGGTCTTACATCCTTTACTCCTGTTTCTTGGTAAAGTCTGAGACTGTAGGGTGTCCTATATCAATTTATGATCCAAAAGCACACTCACAAATGCTCCCTTTGCTACTACACGGCCTCGATTCACTCACATTTAGTTCGCACTTGTCCATGTGGCCTTTTGTAATCAATGTGTGAATTTAGAGGAGGACTGCTGAGTGCACCCTTTGGGACAGGGTCATAAAGGCCATTGGATCTATCCAAGAAAACCATTTCCTGGCCCAAAGGACTATGCTGTATCTTTCATGTTCATAAGCTCTTTTTTGGGTATCTCTTGGGCTTCCCACAAGGTGAAACCAGATTTTTCAGGAAAGCAAATTGCATCCCAAAGCCTCCTATCCAGATGACAGCACCTAATGAAAACAGAAGACTCACCTAGAGAGATTACATTACCAGTCGACCCTGCCTCGGGATATAAATCAGTTACCCCGCACTGCCTCCGAGGACTCACAATAGGCCTAATAAATAATGATGGCTCTGAAACAGTGGGGAAATAGCAAATATACATCTAGGATTTAAATAGAATTATATCTCCTTAATTATAAACCATAACAATCGTGTCAAAGTTGTATAGCCCCAACACGAACACCTGCAGTGTTTGGAAATGACCTTAGGGTAATGTTGGTTTACTACATGTTCTTATTAGCTGGAAGGACATTGTTTCTATTGGAGGGCTGTGTCAACAACCAAAGGCTTGAGGGATAATTGAAATCAATAGACTAATTACAGACTTGCCCTCCTTCCTGCTGTTATCCAGCCATATATTTGATGTACACTCCCTTATCTACAATCCTCCATTAAGCTCACATTTCAGTTATGGGTAAAAAAAGCAATTGAGGGGATAACTTGTCTTGTCCTCAACATTTATTTGTTTCAATAAAGCAATGAGGCCGAGATATATAATCATGGCTCTGCTGATTTGCTGCGAACCCTTGACTACACTCAAAATATAGTGAATTATAATAGTTTATTAAATGTTATAGTAATAACAGTCCTTAAGCTAGGCTATATATATATATATATGAATTTTGTACTTTTTGTTGGGAATCAGTATAGTTTAAACTCTTTGTTTTCTTTTTTCCCCTCTAGTACCACGAAATCATGGGAAAAACAATGTGTTTGATATCGATTTAGACATTGAACTTGGCAACACAGAAGAGGAGATGAAGGATGACCCAGGTAAAAGAAGGCTCCTTTTATTTTTTGGCTGAAATTGCAGATGTTTTTTAGAGTGTTCGATTATTGGGTGCAGACTAGTCTGTTGATAGCAATAGACATACAGCAAATGGGAACACACAGTGAGACTGCCTATTTGCAATGTTTTCTGTTATTTACATCACAGGCATTTTGTAGGTATTAATCTTGACTTTTGATGTCACTCCAGATGAATTGGATCAGTGTTGTGAGGCGAACAGCTTTCTTTGGCCTTCATGAAAATACCCACGCTTCACTGATCCCTGTGGGAAATTGAGAATAGCGCAATTCTGAGTTACTCTTCATTTAGCAGTTTCACTTACGCTGCTTGCAAGGGCAGTTTCCCAGGAGTTTCCTCTATTCAGTGTGTTACTCAAGGGCATGATGATAATAGAAGATCTCAGTTAATGGCCATCGTGGATTGAGCCTGGGAATACCAGCCCAGAGCCTTAACCAATATTTTTATTGTTTGCAAACGGTGTGAAATTAACACCCATCCCCAGTCAAATGCTTCATTTTCTGAGCCGTGTGGAAGGTGAATCTCGGCTTGATTTCTGCCAAGAAAGCCCTTTGTGCTGAAGATGCTTAGATGTTGTTGTCTTCATTCATTTTGACTATCCATCCATCCACTCACCACCCATTTTTTTCTCAGAATTGTGAGATATAAACTCGTAACTCATTGTTTGCAGATAAACATACAAATTAATTTATCAGTTATAATATTCTTTATTCCACAAATGGAAAACCAATTTAATGTAATGAAAATAAAAAATTAAATACAATTATTTTAAATTATTGATATCATCTATAAGATTTTTGGAAATACCCAATATCTTGTGTGTATGAGGCTATGCGAGTAATTCATACAAAAAAAATTTAATTTAATTTTATTTCAATTTCTCCTTCAAATTACAAATCTCCAATTATCAATTCAATTCTGAATGGTTCATGATCCTCGTGGCTGGCTGCTGGACAAAATTGTATTTTCCCACACTGGTTGAAGTGAATATTTTTTGTTCCCAGTTTCATGATTACATTTTTTTTTTTGGAGTTCAGAGTAATTTCTAAAATTGCATTTCATTTTTGTCAGCTCATTTTTTGATCAATTGTGTCATATTCCACAGAGACGGGCCATCTGAGCTGCTCTTTTGCTCATGGTCTCTGTGGATGGATCCAGCACAGAGAGGGAGATCTTCACTGGGAGACGACTGCAGATCCTTCAGGTATTATGGGGGTTTTCTATAAAATGTTATTGGGTCAAATGACAAATAAGAATTTAACACGAAATCGATTTCAAGTAAAAACAGAACTTTTTTATGGTTTGGCCTAGGGCTGCAACTAACGATTATGTCGATAATCGATTAATCTGACGATTATTTTTCGATTAATCTGATAAAAAATTCGGTTTGCTTTTTTGTTTATTATAACTAAATAAAACCCTAAATCATGGTTGTGGTGAGCAGAACAAAGGCCAAGGAACGTGAGATGCAAGGCGCGTCTCACAGGTGTCGTTCATTATCACTCACGCCACCGGCCTCGCGGCGCTCTCTCACGTCCCTCGGCATCGTCCTGCTCGCCACAAAGGAACAACGGGTTTCTAAATACAAGTTTTTGAAAATTATACCGTTATGTGTGTAAACTACAAAAACACCAGTTTGCGTTCTCATTTTCGTATGCGTTTTTTTTGGATTCCTCATTCCGTGGCTCTGAATTGTCAATACACCTTTCAAAATGCTTGCTACGGATGCGAAAAATGCTGAAAATGTTTGTGTAAACTGTTTACGTGACTACATGGACTCGTTAATTGCCCCTCGGGGACAAATAAAGTGTTTTGAACGTAATTCACGTAATCCGCTTGTCTCTGTCGTGATCTCTTTGGCAGGTGGGCGGTACCTAACGATCTCTGAGGGCGGAGAAAAGCGAGGTGGGCGTGGCGCTCAGCTGATCCTCCCCCTGACGACGCCCTGGAACGAGGGGAACCTGTGCCTGGCCTTCAGACACAACATGGCGGGCCACCACGTTGGCATGCTGCAGGTGTTCGTACAGAAGGGACGGCAGCACAGCCCCGCGGTCTGGGGTCGAACGGGAGGAAGCGGCTGGAGGTCCACGCAGATCACCATTTGGGGCAATGGCCTAGAAAGTGTAAGCGTCAACCCTGAATACACTCACATCTGTGAATGTCTCGAAAGGTTTCACCAAGGTGTTATTTGATTTATGTCACTACAGGTGATCGTGAAGGGCGAGCGGCGGAGAGGCCGTAAGGGCGAAATAGCTCTGGACGACTTGAGTCTCAAACGAGGTTCTTGTCAGGAAGAGTACAATCTGAGGAGACTTTAACACCGACAGCACCACAAACAGAGACTTTTAACGCCAGCTTTACTCACGGGACTCTAGGAAGACGGACACCTTACAAAAAGGTACACCTGACGGACACTTCCTGTCAGTCCCGGTACGGTTATGGGTGCACCTTCCTCAATGGCCACAAGTGCATGTGCTCAGTTGAGTGCTGTAGGGACGACGTATTTTTGTAGGCCAAAACCCCGTTCGCATTTTGGTACGTCCGGTTCCATTGTTTCAAAGTCAATGGGTTTTCTGAATGGGTTTTTGGTTAAATGTGGTTAACAAAAGGTCAACATATTTTCTTGTTTTTTTTTTTCTACAACATAAAGTACATCAGTAAATACATCTATCAGATGGTAAATGAAAACTCTCAAGTGGGAAAGCGTGAAAGCTGAGGTATGGCTGTCTACGTCCTGATGCTGAGCAACCCGATACACTACAACAACAGCTGCGGGTAGCTCTAGCCATTCGCCAGTAAGGTAAACGTTTCTATGGTAACAGCGAGTTGGACCAAACAGCAGACGTTGCTGCTACGCTTAGGATTGTGGGTAGCGTGGTTTTTTTTTCCATAAGATCGTGGATAAAACATGTTTTTCTTAAAACAAGGTTGATTTCATACGAACTTATAGCTTTAACGGGAGTAAAAACCTCATAGCTTATGGTCCGTCTGCCTCGGATGGTCTTGACATTAGGGCTGATAATCTAAATCCTTATCGAGAAATATTGTTGACCGGTTCTGTATCCCTACTTCGCGTTCCCGAAGCAGGAACTGTGACGGGCTTAGTTTTACTGAACTATTTCCCTGCCATTGACAGAATTTTCCAACTCCTTGTTTTCAACTTTTGACTGTTATATGGTAGAGGGCGCTGTTATGCATCTTCTGAAAGAGTATTTAATCTCCGAGAAACAAAACACAGGCAAAAAGGAGTAGAAACAAGCGATAAAAGCATTGCTCATGCATGTTGTAGTCTTTGACAAAAGACTAAACTCGATTTTCTCAGCTTTTTGTTCAAAATGTTGTTTTTATGAAATTGTGGAAATCACAACTTTTCACCTCACAATTCTGACTTTATCACTAGCAATCGTGAGTTATAAAGTCAGAAATGTGAGATATAAACTCACAATTCTGACAGAAAAATTCAGTCTACCAGTATTTTTCCCTCAGAATTGAACTTTATATCTCGCAATTGTGAGATTTAAATTCAGAATTGCGAGATATAAACTTGCAAATGCTAGAAGAAAGTAGACTGAAAGAGTTGTTGAAAGCTTAGTGACGGTGATGTTGGAGTCATGTGACTGTTTAGCTTTTTACTTCTGTTGATTGTATTTAGGCTTCAAAATTCCCAAAGGTTATATTCATTTGTGAAGCTTATCATAATGAACAACACGTGTACGAATCACAAATTTTATTTTCTGCAATAATCCCAAAGCCAATGGAAAAGTCCTATAGGGTTTTTGTCAAGGGAACCCGAGTAATGACTTACAAAAATATGTCATCATTGCAGCACTCTATTAGATGAGATGTCGAAATTGTCAAAGTCTGAAATGAAAATGAAATTTTAATTTTGTAAATGTCTCCCACCTCAAATCTTTTTTGTCAAACTGTCGAGCAGACGCCATCGTGCCATTGTAAATGTAAGTTGGCCAGTTCAGCTGTTCGTCACCCGAATGATGATGATGATGAAGATGTCCTTTCAAAATCCCCTTTTCAATTTGACCGACGTGATTTGTTAGCCCAGTTTGCAGCTAATCTGAGTGACTATTTTTGGTGTATTATTGTAAATGTATTCAAACTTGTGTGTATATATATATATATAAATATATTTCAAATATGCTTTGTAGGTGCACATATATGTGAATTCTTCATCGTATAAGTGATGCAGGACAATGTTTACATCACACGACCCAGTATTTTATTGACGTATATTGTTAATTACAAACCAGTAAACAGTTCTGAATTTTTCTTATTAATGGCTGTATCAGCCATCCTTTATGATCACCACAACGACTGTATGTTGATTATGAACGATCTTGGTTTAATATTCAGATGAAGCAACGACCTCCAGACATTAAAAGGTGTGAACATGAAATATATGTCTTGTATTTTTTTACTCTTGTTGGGGAGTAACAGCTTTTTAAGTAGAGTTTGAAGTTAATGTCATGTTGTTTTGCACACACAGCTTTAATTAATAACCAGCTGTCCTAAACTAGACTCTTTTTCATTTGAAGAACTGGGAAGTCAAATTCTATTAGTGAATCAGATTGGATGCTGCAAATAAATGAACCAAACGATTTGCCTGTTAATTTGATTCCCTGGGACGATGGTTGCACAGCACTTTATATTGTCTTTTTTGTAGCATATATATAGTTAATTAATTCTGGAGTTTTCTAATCATAATAGTGGTATTTAGTGTAAATCGATCTGTTCAGATAATACCGTCACCCTCATTGAAACCCGGAGAAATGTGTCGGAGAAATATTGTTCTGACTAGTCTGAAAAACATTAAGCCCTCATTCATAAAAACAAGCAGAACAACTATGTTAATCGGTCAAGCTTTCTTGTGTAAAGAGATTGCAATCAATTCAATAATGATTTGCACAGAAATTTGTTCTTGCTTGTGTATTCCATGAACAAGGCCAGTTTAATTCTTTCTACTCTTTCCATCTAATGGCCTTGATATGAACCAATACATTTTATAAGAAGTGAATTTTACGAGATTTATTAGGATTCCCATTGTAAATAATATAATTTTTTAATATGTTGCATTTTAAATAGCGGTTTTGAGATTCAACTGTAATAATAAGTAGAAAGATAGAATAATAGAAAATAAAACCTCTTCCAATCCTCTGTTTGGATATATAAAAAAACATTTCTATTGTGGTAGTTGTTTTAAATACAACCCCAAATAAGAAAAAAAAGACATTTTGTAAAATGAACAAATCACAGATTCTTTATTTTATTGCATTCTATTTAACCTTTTATTAGCTGACAAAAGTACAAAAAAACGTTTTCCAATGTTTTACCCAACCAACATAATTGTATGTAAATATGAACAAATTTTGATTTTGATGGCTGCAACACACCCCAAAAAAAGTTGGGACAGAGACCAAATAAAAGTGAAAAGATTATCCAAATTAAATTATCTAACTATTTTGAAATAGTCCACAATGAGCACACTGTAAAATATATATATAGATATTTTCAAGATTTGTTATCACAACATTTTTTTCTTTTGTCAAATCAACTTAAATAATTTATTTAGTTCAGATAACTTATTATTTTGAGTTTGTGATGATTAAATCAATCCCTATTGTATTAACTCACGTTTTCAAGTTCAATCAACTTAAAATTTTAAGACAACCAGTTACTTAACTTTTTAAGTTAAACCAACAATATTTTTTTCTTTTTTACAGTGGTAATAGTTCATGTTTGGGTGTAAAAGTGCTTCTCAGTCTTTTTAAGCAAAAAACAATGAGTAAAATTTACTATTTTTTTAAGGCAAGTTTTTTGCACTGATATTTTTTGAGTAAATTTCACACATATGATTAAGTAAACTATACTTAACTAAGTTACTATACTTAACATTCTGTTGAGCAACTGTCTTGTATCAGACAAAATTGGTCAAATATTCCACTAGCAAAACTCCAACAATTAGTATCCTCAACTCCCAAATGATTAAAAAGTGTAATTCAAAGGGAAGATGATGTGACACTGCGGTAAACATGTCTCTGTCCCAACTTTTTTGGGGTGTGTTGCAGCCATCAAAATCAAAATTTGTTCATATTTACAAAATACAATTATGTTGGTCAGTGAAAACATTGGAAAATTTGTACTTTTGTCAGTTAATAAAAGGTTAATGAAGATATCACAGATTCTTGATTTTATTGTATTTTACAAAATTTCCCAACTTTTTCGGATTCCGGGTTGTAATATTAATGATCCAACCATACGGTCAAAAAACATCCTACGTTTTAGGACACCCTTTAACGTCAGTTAGAGGACACTATCCTAGGGCGTCCTCTAACTGATGCTTTACCTTTAGCGTCAATTAGATGACTCGGGCAGGTTTAGGTCTGGGGTAGGGTTAGGATTAGGATCTAACTGATGTCAAAACGTCGAATGTTGACATATGGTGAAAAGCATCAGTTAGATGACGTAAAATCTTAATAAAAAATGGTGGCAGTGACTTAGATTAGTGTTGTAGAGTTGTGTTCCTCTGAAGGCACATTACAAGTACGAGAGAATGATGAGTGTTGTTTTATATTTTCCTTTATGCTTTGGGGCTGGGTATGAGGTTCAAAATCCAGCAGTTATCTAAAATATCAATTTTATCGATCCCCAAGGGGAAACTGGAAAATAAAATCTGCACATTTTCCTTTTGAAACGGCAGCAGTCACCTCTAGAGACATGGCTTTGCATTCAATAGAAGTGAAGAATGTACTTTCAGTGGCAACTTATATTTGGTGCACTAACCTACTGTAGACTTTAATAACTCCATATTTTTTCTCCAGCAAAGCCTGAATTCTTGCATAATGGAAACATTTTGCCAGGACGGTCTGTTCCGTTCTGATTTGTTAGCACCAAACAAGTTTTTCCAGCTCATCTGAAAGGTCTCGCTACATCTGGAAGCAGATAATGGTGTTTTTTAACATGACAAATCAAATATACATCAATCAAGTTTCTTTTATCCATGGAACACAAAAAATGCTATGCAAACTACAACTTTTATCCGTTGAAAAAAAAGATGCCTCGAGGCAACAAATTAGAATATAAATGAGAAGCAAATAAGATTTTTTAACTAATAATGATTCAAGTTTCAGTTTGATCCTTCACAAACACTGTCGGTCCCCCAACACTTGCATTGTGTGCCAAAATTATTTTTTAGCAAATTATGCAAAATATGTCATTCTGTGTTCTACACAACAATCTAATACAGGTGTGCATCGACATGAGGGTGAGTAAATGACAGTTTTATTTTCTGGGTGAACAATTTCTTTTGCAGAGCTTTAAGTCTTCCAAAAAACATCCTTAAAAGCATAGGTTGTGCTTAGCATACATGGAATGGAGCTATCTATACATGCATGCTACATTTTATTAAAGAGGTTTTAAAGGTCTTGATTTTGAAGTCTAATAGACTGGCTATTCATACGGAAGAGGATTAGGGCCAAGCAATAATAAAAAAATAAAACCATCTCGTGATTAAAGTCTTAATGAGAGATTAAACTTGTTATATTTCGACAAAAAAGTCGAAATACAATCTTTGGAATAAACTAATTAAATTTGGAGAATAAAGTCTTTGTGTTTCGGGAAAAAAACTTTTACAATTTCGAGAATAAATTCGTGTTTCGAGAAACTGTCTCCATGGTAAAAACCATTGTATTACTGCCACACAATGACTTTATTCTCGAAATTGAATGAGTTTATTCTCAAGATTGTATTTCAACTTTTTTTCACGAAACACAATGACTTTATTTTCAATATTTAATGAGAGTATATTCTCAAGATTGTATTTCAACTTTTTTCTCGAAATTTAATGAGTTTTTTTCTCGAAACACAACAACTTTATTCTTAATATTTAATGAGTTTATTCTCAAGATTGTATTTAGACTTTTTTCTTGAAATTTTACGAGTTTTTTCTCGAAAGACAACAACTTTATTCTCGATATTTAATGAGTTTATTCTCAAGAATGTATTTCGACTTTTTTTCTTGAAATTGAACTAGTTTTTTTCTCGAAACACAACGTCTTTATTCTCGAAACTTAATGAGTTTTATTCTCAAGATTGTATTTTGACTTTTTTTCTCGAAATTGAACGAGTTTTTTTCTCGAAACACAACGTCTTTATTCTCGAAAATTAATGAGTTTATTCTCAAGATTGTATTTAAACTTTTTTCTCAAAATTTTAGGAGGTTTTTTTTAGAAAGACAATGACTTTATTCTCAATATTGTATTTAGACTTTTTTTCTCGAAACACAACGACTTTATTTTCAATATTTAATGAGTTTATTCTCAAGATTGTATTTTGACTTTTTTTCTCGAAATTGAATGAGTTTTTTTTCTTGAAACACGACTTTATTCTCAATATTTAATGAGTTTATTCTCAAGATTGTATTTCGAGTTTTTTCACAAATTTAACGAGTTTTTTCTCGAAAGACAACAACTTTATTTTCGATATTTAAAGGGATAGGGGTAAAGGGTAAAGGGTAAAAAGCAGCTTCACAGTGGTAACATATATCAAAGCAGCTTCACAGTGGTAACATGAAAGTAATACAGCACAGATCAATAACATTGTTGAATATTAAATGTCCCCAACTAAGCAAGCCAAAAGCAAGGCAACAGTGGCAAGGAACCAAAACTCCATCTGGTGATTGGATGGAGAAAAAAAAACCTTGGGAGAACCCAGGCTCAGTCGGGGGCCAGTTCTCCTCTGGCCAACATACATATTATTTCAAAGCAGCTTTACAGATAGTGTAAGGAAGGGACCATCCTGGTAGTGGTGATGATGGGGAGGATGGAGGGGAAGGTACCATCTTGGTGGTGGTTGGGGAGGATGGAGGTGAATGGCAGCATCAGCATCTGCAAACTCAGACAAGTGTAAGTACCAATCTTTTATACTGTGACTGTTAACACCTGATTGGATAGGAATGAGGTAATACATGACGTGCTGATTGAGTCTTCCCAACAGAACTTAAGCTAAAGCTTTCATTGGCATAAATGCTACGTGGTATCTCAATATCTCAGCTCAGTAAGGGTCTGGAGCCTCCATTTTTACACTCAGATCTAAGTCCCATGGCCCTCTATCAGAATCCAGAGTTTCAAGAAGATTGGAGAAACTTATTTTTTCGGAAAAAAAAAAAAAAAAAAAAAAAAAAAAAACGAAACACTGTCTTTTTTTTTTTTTGGGTCAAAATATTTAGTTTCTCTGATCTTTTTGAAACTCTGGATTCTGATAGAGGGCCATGGGACTTTGACCTGTGTGCAAAAATGGAGGCTCTAGACCCTTCCTGAGCTGAGATATTGAGATCCAATGTATCATTTATGCCATTATAAATATCTCAATATCTCACCTCTGGAAGGGTCTAGACTAGAGCCTCCATTTTTGCACTCAGGTCTAAGTCCCATGGCCCTCTATCAGAATCCAGAGTTTCAAGAAGATTGGAGAAACTTATTTTTTCGCAAAAAAAACAAAAAACGAAAGGGGTAACACTGACGTTTTTTTTTTGGGTCAAAATTTTTAGTTTCTCTGATCTTCTTGAAACTCTGGATTCTGATAGAGGGCCATGGGACTTAGACCTGTGTGCAAAAATGGAGGCTCTAGACCCTTCCAGAGCGGAGATATTGAGATATTTATAATGGCAAATGCTACGTGGGATCTCAATATCTCAGTTCTCGCAGGGTCTAGAGCCTCCATTTTTACACTCAGGTCTAAGTCCCATGGCCCTCTATCAGAATCCAGAGTTTCAAGAAGATCTGAGAAACTTATTTTTTGCAAAAAAAAAAAAAAAAAAAAGACAGGGGTAACTGTCGTTTTTTTCTTTGGGTCGAAATTTTGAGTTTCTGTGATCTTCTTGAAACTCTGGATTCTGATAGAGGACCATGGGACTTAGACCTGAGTGTAAAAATGGAGGCTCTAGACCCTTCCAGAGCTGAGATAATGAGATATTTATAATGGCATAAATGCTACGTGGGATGTCAATATCTCAGCTCAGTAAGGGTCTAGAGCCTCCATTTTTACACTCAGGTCTAAGTCCCATGGCCCTCTATCAGAATCCAGAGTTTCATGAAGATCTGAGAAACTTAATTTTTCGTCCGAAAACAAAAAAAAAAACGAAAGGGGTACCACTGTCGTTTTTTTTTCGGGTCGAAATTTTGAATTTTGATATCTCAGCTCTGGAAGGGTCTAGAGCCTCCATTTTTGCACTCAGGTCAAAGTCTCGTGGCCCTCTATCAGAATCCAGAGTTTTGAGAAGATTGGAGAAACTTAATTTTTCGCCCGAAAACGAAAAAAAACGAAAGGGGTAACACTGTCGTTTTTTTTTTTCGGGTCGAAATTTTTTATTTTGATATCTCAGCTCTGGAAGGGTCTAGATCCTCCATTTTTGCACTCAGGTCAAAGTCTCACAGCCCTCTATCATATTTGAGAGTTTTGAGAAGATTGGAGAAACTTAATTTTTCGCCCGAAAACGAAAAAAAAAACGAAAGGGGTAACACTGTCATTTTTTTTTTCGGGTCGAAATTTTGAATTTTGATATCTCAGCTCTGGAAGGGTCTAGAGCCTCCATTTTTCTACTCAGGTCAAAGTCTCGTGGCCCTCTATCAGAATCCAGAGTTTTGAGAAGATTGGAGAAACTTAATTTTTCGCCCGAAAACGAAAAAAACCAAAGGGGTAACACTGTCGTTTTTTTTTTTCGGGTCGAAATTTTTAATTTTGATATCTCAGCTCTGGAAGGGTCTAGAGCCTCCATTTTTGCACTCAGGTCAAAGTCTCACAGCCCTCTATCATAATTCAGAGTTTTGAGAAGATTGGAGAAACTTAATTTTTCGCCCGAAAACGAAAAAAACGAAAGGGGTAACACTGTAGTTTTTTCTTTCGGGTCGAAATTTTTAATTTTGATATCTCAGCTCTGGAAGGGTCTGGAGCCTCCATTTTTGCACTCTTGTGAAAGTCTCATGGCCCTCTATCAGAATCCAGAGTTTTGAGAAGATTGGAGAAACTTAATTTTTCGCCCGAAAAAAAAACGAAAGGGGTAACACTGTCGTTTTTTTTTCGGGCGAAATTTTGAATTTTGATATCTCAGCTCTGGAAGGGTCTAGAGCCTCCATTTTTGCACTCAGGTCAAAGTCTCACAGCCCTCTATCATAATCCAGAGTTTTGAGAAGATTGGAGAAACTTAATTTTTCGCCCGAAAACGAAAAAAATGAAAGGGGTAACACTGTCGTTTTTTTTTTCGGGCCGAAATTTTGAATTTTGATATCTCAGCTCTGGAAGGGTCTAGAGCCTCCATTTTTGCACTCAGGTCAAAGTCTCACAGCCCTCTATCATAATCCAGAGTTTTTAGAAGATTGGAGAAACTTAATTTTTTGCCCGAAAACGAAAAAAAATGAAAGGGGTAACACTGTCGTTTTTTTTTTTCGGGTCGAAATTTTGAATTTTGATATCTCAGCT